GGCTACCAGAGATTTTGAAATTTTGCGAGCCCTGCTACAGTCCCAGATCAGCACAGCTCTGCTGGATCTGTGGCCCAATATAACTTGCTATCATTTATGAGGGATATATTTGATCTTCGATTCTTATCAAATTTTTATAGCAGTTTAAATCCGATCCGTCTTGGCAAACACCGGAATGCCCCAGACTCCTCCTGTTAAGTATCATCTGGCTGTTCCGTGGTTTACTGGAACTCCCGCCCGCTGTCGTCTGGGGTAGTTTAAAAGCAGCTCAACCGGCCCATCTCCTCTCACTTTCTCTGCAGCAGTCGGCGCTCCTGTGGACTCTACAAACAGAACTGTTTTCTTCAAAAGTGTTCTTCTCTTTCAAGCTGCAAATATGGCTCAGATCAACACCTGCCTTAAACGCACCTTCATCATCTTCAACATCTTCTTCGCGGTGAGTTGAGCTTCATTTTCAAACAGCAGCTAAAACGTGTTTGGTCCCAGCAGTAATTTAAAGTGCGCAGTGCCGGGTTGTTGTGCCAAAAACTGATTTCCAATGTTTCCGTGTGTTTTTTATGTGTAATATCATTACGTATGTTGCTAAATAGACTTCGGTGAACAGGTATTGCAAAGGGGTTAAATACACAATTTTTAAAAATGACCTGTTTCTCAATTATCTTTGTAGCTGTGTTATTGTACTTAATTATAATCAATCAGCTTCCTTTTGTCCACTTAAAATATGTTTACAGAACTATTTTTGCATTTGTTGCAGTTTCAGCCGTCCTCTTGGCCAGAATACTCTTAAAAGAGACATTTTTAAAGCAAACAAGAATTTTTTTTAACTGCATAAATAAAGGATACATAAAAGTCACTGCCAAAAAGTGATTGCGGCTTCTACCTTGTTACAGAAATGTTGTTTGTTGGTCAAGATGACTTGATATAATTCACGAGGGATATATTTGACATATGTTTCACATATTGTAGATCAACAAGTTGTTTATAGCAGTTTAAATACAAACAATCAGTTTTTGGCAAATGCCAGAAATCAGTTTTTGGCAGACAATCACTTTTTGGCACAACACCGTCACATCTCACAACATAGAAGACATAAGCTTCGAAGGCGTCACTGTTTCGCTTGGGGTTGGTGGACTTTGTTTTACTGGTTTCAGTTCTGTTTAGTTCTCGACCAGTCACCTTTAGCTTACTGCTCTTTAGTCTTTATCTGTTTGGAAGTAGGCCAGCTGATTGTTAGCTAGGCTGTGGTTACCTATATTTCAAAATAACTGCTCATTATTCAAGCAATTCTAAGCTATGACCTAGTTTCCCTAGTTTTTAAAGTTTTGGTTCACAGCTGTTTCGGTTGTCGTGGTCCATAAAGTTCTAACCAATCAGTTTTATTTTGTATTTAGATTGTTGGCGGAGTCATCATCAGTCTCGCTCTGCTGGCTCAGTTCTCCACCAGCATTCAAGAAGGAGGAAATGTGAGAACAAAGCTGTTGAAACACAGGTTTAACTCATGGGTGTGACTCTGAAGCTGTATCTGACTTTTATTTACTGCTTTTGGCCGTAGCTGGAGGGTCGGGTCAGTGGCCTGTTCAGCCTCTACATCATGGGCGCCATCATCATGGTGCTGGCTATCCTGGGAGCCTATGGAGCCCACAAAGAGAGCAGAGTTGCTCTGATTGTGGTGAGTACAAAGATTACCTGATCTTCTGGGATACTCTAACTTCAAAATAAAAACTCCAAATGTCGACTTACTGCTGGAGCCTTAGGTGGGCATCAGAAGTACTGTAACTTTTGATACTTCAGCCCTTAATTTTTAAGCCCCAAAGACTGCTGTTTTTACCCAATATGACCCCAAGGAGTAACTAACACACACACAGAGCACTGTTTCAGAAAGTGTCCCCCTGTGAGTATAAACTCGCTGTGCAGAGCACACTGGAGCTGAAAGCATGTTCTGGAGGCACTGCTGTTAAAGTGCAAAACCGCTTTTAGGTAAAATGAGAACAGTTGAAAAGCTTTATACAGCCACAAAGCTTGAAGTAGATCACATGCACAGTTGTGAAAGAAGAAAAATTACTTCCTTTTTACATGTTACAAAATCAACCATCTTAGAAATATTCTATGATTTAATGTGGAGAGTCAAATGATCTTTTTTCTTCTTCCTCACAGTGAAACTGGTCAGGGTTGAGAAATGTCAGTAATCCCCAAATACATCAGATTAAGTGTTTTCATGTTCTTTCCCGCAGTTCCTGGTGTGTATGGTCCTTGGATGTCTGGTGATGTTCAAATATGCAGTCCCGGTTGCCATCATGCGTCCACAGGTAAAGGCCCATCTGTCACTGCTTTGGAGTCTAATGATAGGAAATGTAAATACAGGTACTCCTTTATTTATGCTGCGAACATGATGAAGCTAAATTCACCAGTAAACACAATTAAAAGCCATTTCCAGTAATTCATTTATTGGCAGTTGTTGTGTTGCGTAGTTTCAGAAAGTAGAGCATTTTCAGAGTGCTTTCCATGCAAAAATTTCCCATATGTTGTGCCAAATAGAAAAAAATTTGATGCAAAGGGGTTGATAGAACTGAACACTAAGCTTGCCCCCAGCCCTAAAGAGATTCACCAGTGTCTGGTACATGTAAAGAGGTTTACATGAGCTGACAGCAGCAGAGAAGTTTAATCAGGTATTCGGTTTTCATTTTTATTGTACATGTGTTTTATTGTACCTGGTATATGTAGGTAAGGTGGAAGGTTGTTAAAATAAATATATATTTAATGACAGTGTTTAACTTCAGTAAAATACTGTAGATGATAACCTAACTAACAACTTCATCAGTTGAAAGTGTAAGAGTTCACTGTGGATAAAGACATAGTGGAATTTCAGCTTCCTCTGAAAAAGTGGAAATAACCACATTTTCACAGACTGCAACCGCATGAGTGTCTGGTTGCCACATCAGCTCTACAGAGTGTGTGTAGCTTTGTTTTTCATGGAAAAGTACTTGCAAACTACAGCGTTACAACAGCAGTGACAAATAACATAGTTTAATAATCCAAATGTCGACATAGTTTTTAGTGAAATTACTATAAATGAGGCCTAAAAGTGACGTAAAGCTGAGTTTCATCAGTTTAATCCTCTCAAGTGGATGGTTGGATGGTTTTCATCTTATTTAAACTGTTCCTTAAAGAATTTAATAAACTGTAATATTAAAATATTTCAATACTTCAATTCTATTTGCACAAATATCTCTGCTGGTCACTTTATGTATCAAAATAATCACCAAGATAAATAATCACTGGCTAAAACAACGTTATTTTCAAAAAGTGATATCTAATATGGATGACGATTTTGTTTTCAGATTGAAGGTATAATGGAGGACAAGTTTCGGATGTTTCTGCCTTTGGATGAAAACTCAAAGGATATGAAGAACATGGCTGACAACATCCAGAAAACTGTGAGATATTCAGCTCTGCCTTGTGTTTTATACTTCATGTAATTTGTGGATTTCTCTTTTGTTCAATTTAATGTTTTATTCTTACATCCAAACCAGCTGAGTGCCATTAAAGGTAAAAACTGTGTGGTGGGTTGGGATTTCCATGAAACTAAAACTTAATGGTACCCTTCAGTGCCAAAATTGTGAAAATGCTAGTAGGGTTGTTGAGAAGGGAAGACAATCATAATCGTAAATACTAAATGGTACTAAAATTAAAACAAATAACAGCAGCACAACCAACTTGGTGAAGCTGACAACCCAGTGTTTCTGAGGAATTTTGTCAGGTCAGCCTTTTTAAGCTGAAGTATTAAACATTAGCATTAGCTTTAACTACTTTAGCTATTAGCAGTTAGCCGCATTAGCTACCTATTAGGTTATCGTTACGGTAGTAGATGGCAAATAATAAAAGGTCATCGTTTGACTGTGGGGCATTGTCATCAGTCAGGACTGCCAATCCTGTTCTCCATCTCATCTGTGCCAGTCAACAATAACTCTCCTGTTTCTTCTGGGGTTTTTTAGTTTCACTCCTGTGGTCTGTTCAGTTTTGATAGATAAATAGTGTTAATTTAATAGCAAAGCATAATTATAAAGTTTGTTTCCCATATTGAAGCAAAAGGAAGTAAAGTAAGTACCAGCAACCAGAAACTGTGACAGCCTAACATACCAGATCTGTTTGATGAGGAGCCAAAGAGTCAGAAGTGTTTGAACATTTATTTAAAACATAAGAACTGTGTCTTTTCATTCTGTCATTTTGTCCTCATGTTGTGTATTTTCTTGAGTATCAGTATCAAGCCGGAAATTCTTTTTACGTGACAGTGTTACTCATGAAGACACCGTGCAGCCACGCACTAACTGCCAAGTATGAAAAGTCATGGTTGGTTGCTTTGACAAAAGAGCTTCCTCTTTCTCGCTACATTCAGATTGCAGCCGTTGACTTTCCAGCTCACAAACATTTGTTGTCAGACCTGTTTTTCCATTCCCGTAATTCCACACAGGGCATCCAGTTGAGTTCAGGCTGCTTATTGGCTGTCAGATGCATTCTCAAAGAGAAGTGCAAATTAAGATATGCAAAGTGCAGAGCCAGGAAATGCTTTTACCAAGACAGTAAACTGTGTTCCTTTATTTTACTGTCCTGTTTAAAAAAAAAAAAAAAAGCAACACATGAAATGGTGTCACTGAATCTTTAAACTTTTTACACTAGAAAGACTGTGATTGTCACGTCTGCAGTGGTAGATGAGTGGAGGTTGAAAGTAGGACCCCAGATGAAGGCTGCTTCTGATGTGAGCGAGCTTTATTGATATGGTAGGTAAAACAAACAAGAACGTAATGGGCATGAAACAAAACCTAAGAATAACCTGAACTGGGAGAAACAAACCAGAAACAGTGACGCAGGGAAAGACACAGAATGCCGGATGGCAATTACCCAGAAAAACCAGCAGCTAACAGAGGCAGACACAAGGCTTAAATACACAGAGGGATAACGAGAGAATGAGACACAGAAGGAGGAAACAGCTGGGAGTAATCGGACATGACGAGACAGAGGAAACAAAACTAAACACGCTGACGTGAGACACGGACCTTCACAACAAAACAGGAAATACATAGACTGAACTTAGAGGTATAATATAACATAGAACCAAAACGTAGGAATAAACAAAAATACATCATGAAGTCAAAGATTAACCATACAAAACAGAAAACACTGGGTCACAGACCCAGGACCGTGACAATGATATGTGTATCTGACTTCCCTTTAGAATCAAAACCATAGCTCTACTTTGAATCTCGGTAAAAAGCAGAAGTTTCAACTTCCTCTCTTGCGGCACAATGTAAATCAGAGGTGCCAAACATATTTTTGCATTGAGGTCAACATACAGCAAGCTTTGGTCTGAAGAAACTATCCTTTCTGTCAGTCTAAAGAAGTTTAATGACACATTTCATCTCTGTCTCACTGTAAGATACAGATGTGCGGTTTCATGAACACATCTCGGCTGGTTATAGATTTATATATTTTCTGTTTTGACTGAGATTTCTGTAGATGCTGAAAAATATGAACGACCACGGAGGAGACAATTAAAAGTCCAGAATTTCTGCCCCCTTCACTTTTTCTAGAGCTGTCCAACAGACCAGATTACATAGACTGGATTATATGGGTTGTATAGATTACAGTTAATCATAACAGCAGGAGAAGGAAATGTCCTGGACAGTGTCTTTTAACACTGTCTCACACTTTTTAAAGAATCGTTCTCCATCTCATCTGTGCCAGTCAACTATAACCCTCCTGTTTCTTCTGGTTTATTTTAGTTTCACTGCTGTGGTCTGTTCAGCTACAAAGACTGGAACAACATTCCCGAATCCTGTAAATGCAACCTGGAGGAGGAGGAAGAGGGCAAGTGTCAGACTGTTGGCTACAGAGTGAGTATCAACACACACAGCTTCACTTCTATTAAATGTATCTCGGTTAGTCATATCTTTTAATTTTTCTATCTTTCCAGTCTTTAATGGAGAGATCAACATCCATCTACACCCAAGTGAGTGACTCGGCTTCATTTTGAAAAATGTTTCTTGATTTCATCAGCTGATTTACAGAAAATCTAAGTTTATTTTTTTCTGTGTTTAGACCTGCTTCCCCATAATAATGCACTACGTCCTGCTGGGTTTTGACATCGTACTCGGAGTCTTCTTCACTCTGGCTATTCTGGCAGTGAGTATTGTTAGCTATTTAAAGACAAGGTTTCCACAGAGTAAATGTCCTGTTTCAGTTACTAATGGCAGCACTCAAAAAAAAATCTGATTCAATATCATTTTTTAAGAAAGTAGTTTAATATAGCAGTAAAGTATTCAGAGTAGTGGATGGGGATTTTTTTTATTTTAAATATGGTGAAATTGCAGGATGTGGTTTGTCAAAAGTGCTTTGATCTTTAGGTAAAACTTGTGATGCATTATATAGATGCAAGTCATTTACCATGTGATCTGTAACAATCCTTTAAAACTGAAAAAACAAATGGCCAGTCATTTAGCTTCTGTCTTGATGGGGAGTGTCAAGTTTACATCAGTCACTGTTATTTTAGATTTACAAAATAATAACCAAAACTGTTTCTCTTTAAAAATGATCGTGAAGTCCTAAAATCATGTTTCAAAGACTTGAAAATGCCACATGCTCCAGAAGATCAGCATTTGATCTGTGACAATAAAAAGAAACATTTCTGTGATGAAATTTCAGTCAAAACTATTTTTTAGTTTAAGTGAGTTCAGTAAAATGTTCTCAGTTCGGTTTCATTCTAACCAAATACACCTGGAATTCCTGTTCCTGAGGTGGCCGCTCATAGTAAACATGGAAAAGTTTCAAATAATGAGGTCATTGCGTGTATAACACATCTAGTTGTTCAGTTTTTGGTAGCACTTTATAACACAACCTGCAAATACGGCTCAAGTACCCTGTACTTGCATGCAATTTGCAGGCAACAAGTCAGGTTTTGCAGGAAACAATGAGTCAGGAGACAGTAAGTACTCTGTACTTTCTGGAATGCGAGTCATATTATGGAGTCACCTGAAAGACACGCGAAACAATAAAACACTGTAGGACCCATGACTAAGCCACAAGTAGCCTATAATCATGTGTACCAATCCAGGTCTTTGCAGGAAACAATAAAATAATAACATAAAATATTGTATTGTTATCTCAGGCTGAGAAAACAAACCAAGTTGTTCATCAAAGCTTCTGTTTGAAGAACGAGTGGGTGGGGAGCCAATCAAATAAAAGCAACGAGAAACCAGAAGGAAATGTTTGTGTTAGTTGGAGAATGAACTTTCACCAAGTCCCAGAAAAAGATTAATATATGATTATTTTGATATAAAAATAGAATTGTTTCAGTGTGTGTGTGTGTGTGTGTTGATTGATTGATTGATTGATAATACTTTATTCATCCTGAGGGAAATTGGGTTAAGGCTGCCAGCCGTGCCAGCGCCATAAATCTAAATCTGATATTTCTCATTAACAGTGGAGCCAGAATCTATTTTAGCTGAAAATGGTAAATGGCCAGCATTTGTATAGTGCTTTTCTGGTCCCTAAGGACCCCAAAGCGCTTTACACTACATTCAGTCATTCACCCATTCACACACACATTCACACACTGGCAATGGCAAGCTACGTTGTAGCCACAGCTGCCCTGGGGCACACTGACTCTGAGTTCAGTTCTCATTTCTCTTTAAATTCGAGACCTTTTCCTTTCTACAGTCTCGAAGTTCTTACTCGTACAGAGTGATCTGATTTTTTGTATTATTGTTGGGCCTTTAGCTGACAACATGAAACACCCTAAGGAGACTGTTGTTGTGATTTGGTGCTATATAAAGAAAACTGACTTGAATTTCCTTGTTATCAATTGAAGATTTTTAAGCCTGCAGAGCAGCTGATTTTTAACTCTCCTTTCTGTGTCCCCTGCAGCTGCTCGGCACAATTCTGTCCTCGGCCATGATCCACCAGATGCGTTACCCCAACAGACCCACCATCCTGCTCACAGTTCCCACTGTCCTCTCCACATCGCCACCAAAATATGAGGAGCTGTACAACCCTCCACCATATTAGACACAGAAAGATGCACTGTTCCTTTATTGCTGGCTTTGCGTGGAAGTTCCAGGAGTCCTGTTAGTTTTGTTTTTCTTGAATTTTAACGTGAGTTTGAGGTTTGTGTCCAAAGTGCCTTACAGCTCTGTAAGGAGTTCTGACTTGTTCCTTTAAGATCAGTGAAAACACGATTTTTAAGGAGCCTGAAAAATGCCACAGCTTTTCTGATACATAAACATTGTTCTTATGCTACTGTTTATTTATCTTATATGTTCTTGCTTTGAAGTTAAGAAATGTTTTCAGTTTTCCAAGATTTGACTTGTGGCTTTCATTTAGAATCAACAGAAATCATTATCTTTGTCACATGTTAAGAGTGCAGAAGTTCATCACATACAAAAGATAAGGGATGTGAAAGTGAAGCTCAAATCTCTCCAAAAGAGAACTGGTGCAACCAGGACTACTAAAAATTAAAAGTTTAATTATTTGAATTCAAAGTTTACATTTTGAGTTTTAAATGTGTTTTCTATATATATTTCCAACACTTTTATCTTATTTTTATTTTTAAAAGTCCCGCTAAACTTTTAGAACTTTTATAAAATATTTTAAGGAAAAAAAGCTCCTCCCATTTTTAAGAAAAAAAAATGAGGGTTATGCAGTCAGTGGCATTCAAGCATGGATTCAAAAGAAAACTCACACATGCCAACAACTCATTTTGGCCTGAAGTCGCCTTGAAAAAAGCTGCAGCAATCATTTTGGGGGTTTTTTCGTAAAGCAATTTTTTTTAACCAATGTGGACTCATTTATCTTACTCCACTCAGTGTTTTTGTAGACACACACACACACACACACACAAAATAAAACAGCATTTTAAATATTTAGAAAGAGAATTTTTTATTCTACATTTTCTTGTGGGTCTCTTGTTTTTGTCATGTTTGATTTTTCTGATGTAAACATCGATGACTTACAAAAATAAAAGGTGATAAAAGAGCACCAAAGGCACCCCTGGTTTTCACAGACACTCAGCTCTTTCCACACCACTACTGCATTTAATTATTAATAATAAATAATAATTACTCATCGCTGGCTCTTTCTCCCAAAGTGTGTTTTTGTCCTGTCTCTGCTTGGCTTAAAGCCCAACCGGTTGTTCAGATGGTTGCCCCTCCCTGAGCCTGCTTCTGCCCAAGGTTTCTTCCTGTTAAAAGGTTAAAAGTTTTTACTTCCCACTGTCACCGAGTGCTTGTTCATAGGAGGTCATCTGATTGTTGGGGCTTTCTCTGTATTATTGTAGGGTCTCCAGCTTAGAATATAAAGTGCCTTGAGATGACAGTTTTTGTGATTAATTGTCTGTCATTCAGTGACAGAAACATGCAAATATCGAGATGGAAGACGAGCTACAAACAGAAGTAGAGTTTGCAGTCATTTCTATTTCTTTCTCGCTGTTTAAGCTCATGTGTAGATAGATTTCCATGTAAGTATCCAGAGGCCTGTTATGATGTCTGAGCCATGACTTCATCAAATTGATTAATTTTTTAGGTCTAACATTTTGATGATTAAAAGTCACTCTTTAAACAGCCTGAGGAACAAAAAGGAAATAAGAAGCTTTAAATGTGTGCCCTTTCTCAACCACTCTCATTGAATATCTTTGTCCTGCAGGCAGTTGGCCACCAGAGAGCACTGTTTAACAAGTGCCCAGCTGACTCTTACGAGAAGAGGGAAGTGTGCATGTCAAACTGCTCCGGGGATAAAACTGATGAATTTCGTGCTCTTTCAGAGAGAAAGGGGCACTCCCTGAGCGGGGGACTGTGATAGGTCAAGCTGTCTCCTTGAGCCTTATTTAGACCTATCTCAGTCCACAAGATAGGAAAGTTCATGCAGTCGAGCCAGAACAAGAAAATGACAAAAATGTTCAGACAATACGAGATCTGAATGATCTAACCACCATACAGAGAGAATGTAATCCCCAAACAGGTACATTTTTAGTCACATTGGATTCACAGAGAACAGGTAACTTTCTTCTAAGCGCACTCAGGTATTGCTAACATTGGTGCCCCACCACCAGTGTTGGGTAAGTTACTTTAAATTAGTAACTTAGTTACATTACTAGTTACTTCTATCAAAAGTAACTCAGTTACTT